TGATTTTCGGTGACCGACTACAAGCACTAAGGCAGGTGTTAGTGCTGGTTGCCTATCACCGATGTTACAAAAATTTAAAAAACTTAAGGGAGTGTTTGGTTCAGGTAATCTTGGATTACCGGGGGAATGGAATGTCATTCCCACGTTTGGGTTGCAAACATTCCCAACCCCCGGTAATCCTTTATTCCCAACAGTGGTATTTTGGGGGCTTATTACCGGGAATGTGATTCCCCATTCCCTTAGGTATTGTTACATTCCCGACATTTTGGACTAAAATGTTCTTAAAAAAATTTCTTAAAAAATATCTTTCTTCTGTCGTTGAATAAAAAATTGTATGAAGGTTAAATTGCAAATTTATTCTTAAACTATTTAAGATTTACAAAAAAAAAAGTTCACAATTAGAATTTTATATGAAGTTTAGGGGTTAAAATAAAAAAAATTTCCTTTCATTAAACCTATTTATCTTTTTAATTTTGTAAAAAAAATTATATAAATTTTATGAATTTAAAATATTTGAAGAAAATATATAAATTAATTATAGTAGAATTCAACTTGTTAAAAAACAAATATATAATAAGGACAATTTGATAAAATATACATTCCAATAGTCTTTAATTATTTTAACCAAACACTATAATCTTACATTCATGCTAAACGAAACAAAACACAAAAATGCAACATTCACAATAATCTTATTCATGCCGTTAATCCTATTCCCGCCGATAATCTTACATTCCGTGAACCAAACGCACCCTAAGTGGCACAAAGATAGAGAGGAAACTAGGATAATCAAATTATTAAAATATTTTTAGTTCATATTTTATTTAATATTAAATAATACTTAAAACATATTTAATAAATAAATAAATAGTATTTGCAAAACATACTATATAATATATAAAAATAATATGGATAAACTATATCTTATATAGGATATAAAGTATAAAAATGAAACCTAGAATATATAAAAATATATTTAATGTATGTACATAATATGAACATATTATAATAATGTAGAGACTAAAACAAAATGAATGCAAGATGGCAAGTTATATATATAAAGTTGAAAACCAGGGATCGAAATGAATCAAATTCAGAATATGAAGGCTGGAATTTAAATAATTGAAAATAAAAACATCGAAAAATAAATTGTTGAAACTAAAGATACTGAAATATAAATAGGTTCTTTTTCTTTTTGAAAGATTGAAAATTATATTTAACTCCAAGAAAGAATGAGGGTTAAAATATAAAAAAAACTTGTAAAATTTAAGACCAAAATCATCTTGTTTCCAATGTAAAAATTTATCATTAATTTATTCTTTGTTATTTATACCGATACCATTGAAAATAGTTATTTATCTAGAAAATAATTTTAAATACAATTAAACTATATTTAAAAGATAATTATTTTAATAAATTTTAGGAAAAAAACACATGAGGTCCCTAAATTTTTAAACAAAACTAATGTAGTCCTCATTCTATTTTTTTTATCAATGTGACCCTTCAACTCGAAAAAAGAATCCATTGTATCACTTTGACCAACGTTTTCTATCATTGACTAACGGTTCTATTAATTTTTATTGACATGGCACATTAAGAAGGCCAATCGTCCGTTTAATGCTGTTATAAATAGGAAAACTACACCATTTGTCACTTAACTATCTTCTTTCTTCATTTTAGTTACTAAACTTTACAATGTTTCATTTAATCACTCAACTTTTGAATTGCTCTTATTTTAATCATGATAACTTATTTTATTATTCTCTATGTATGATGTGGCATTTATTGTTATTTTTTTATTAATATATGATTAAAATAATATTAATTAAATTATAATTTTAAAATTGTGATTAAATTAATTACCATGAAATCGATCGGAGTCCTTTCTGAGGAAACTAAGTTTAGATTTGAGCTTGAGCTAAGAAAAGATAATTATTTTAATAAATTTTATAATTTAAAAAATTACTTTTCACTTACATGACAAACTATGAAATATTTTTCTTTATTAATATAGAGTAATTACAAGTGGTATTATATATTCTAGAGATTCTCAATTATTTGACAATAGATGTTTAAATCTCTTACAGTTGTTCATGCTCGAACCTGAGAGGTTTAGAGACAAAAATCATCTCTTTAACCATTCAGATAGATTGGTTCATGTGAATATAAAAGATTTTTAATTACAATAATTTAGCGTTATAAATTATTATAAAAAATAAATATAATGTTTATTCATTATAATATTAAATTTATGATTGAGATTGATATTCTGAATCAAGTGAAACTAATTTAATTAATACAAATATTAAAAATGTCCAAAAAATTAATAAAAATCAAGTAAATAAAAATAAAAATAAAAATAATTTATGATAATAAAAGTTCATATATAAATAATATTTATCCTATTTATTAAATAATTATATTTTAAACTTAATTGATCTTGTTCTCTTTTTTTAGTTATTCTACTTTTTATTTATTTTTGGATAATTCCATTTTATTATCCAAGAAAGTAGAAGACCTGCTACCGATTACAGCGTGCAATAAATAGAAAATTACAATAGAAACAACAAAAACTAATCAACTATCGAACAGGGTATAATGAAGCAAAAAACTCAGTTAAGGCAAACCCCAACTCAAACAGAGGGCGATATTTCTTGAATCAGCTCCATTGATTGGCTTCCCCAACATATGAATCCGAATAGCATCCTTGATGTCCTGTAAGACAGCATCCACCAACTTTGCTCTGCCCCCAAATAGCCTGTTGTTCCTCTCCCTCCAAATGCAATAAACGTGTCCTGCCCAAGCAAGCTTGAACACTTTCACTATAAGAGATTTGCCCTTGAAATAGCAGGTTGCCCAAGCCACTTCTCCATCCCAACTACTAACCAAACAGTACAAACCACACAGCGCGAGGACAGCGGCCCAGAGACCTTTAGCAAAACTTCAACCGAAGAACAAATGCTCTCTGGATTCAGGCACAAGGTCACACAACAAGCATTTATCATCATCAATATTTAGCCCCATATTCAACAACCTAACCCGAGTAGGAAGCCTATCCAACATGGCCATCCATTCAATGACGCTATGCTTGGGAATACGCCCAGAAAACCAGACTAAGTGCTGCCAAGAAACTTGGGTGCCTTTAAGCGCATGTCTTCCCAAATGTGCCTCACATTTAGATCACAAGCAGGGCCATCGAAGAGGTGAGACACCATAGGCCTAATCTTCAAGAGGCACTTAAAGCTCCAGCTAGCGTTAGAGTGAATATTCAACTGCCAAAAGTCTACGTTTCTAATAACATAGGTTCGCAACCAAGCCACCTAAAGAGATCCCTCATTGGCTAATAGTTTCTTGAATAAATGAACCATACATGCCATGTTCCAACCACCAATGTCTTGTACGCCTAGACCCCCTCGGATTTCGACAAACAGATTTTCTTACAACTAACACGAGTACCCTTGGCAATGAAGTCAGACCCCTTCCAAAAAAAATCTAGAACATAATTTCTCGATAGTCCTAGTCACCCCTTTTGGCATGATAAGTTGCCTGCACCAAAAGTTAGCCATGTTAAATAAGACAGCTCAGATCAGTTGAAGTCTCCCAGCAAAACTGAGGTGCTTGTTGGCCCATAAATTTAGTTTAGCCTTAATTTTATCGATGAGGCTACAACAATCCTTTACGCATAGCTTCCTAGGCACCAATGGGATGCCCAAGTACCTGACTGGCAGACTGCCCAGCTTAAACCCAGTAATTTCCTGAATTGCCACACTGTACCACACTGTTGTGCTGAAACTCCAGCAGAAAAGATTTCACATTTACTGGCATTCAATTTAAGACCAGACATAGAGTAAAAAACATCCAAAACAACATGCACCCCAATAACAGAATCCATGGAGCCTTTGCAGAAAATGAGCAAGTCATCCGCAAAGTAAATGTGAGTGAGCCCTATTTTTTTTACACTTAGGGTGGATCTTGAACACATCTTTTGAAGCAGCCACATTCAAAAGGCTGGACAAGACATTCATGGCCATGACAAATATATACGGTGAAAGGGGATCACCCTACCTAACACCTCGAGCACCCTTAAAGTAGCCGACTAAACTACCATTAAGCAAAATCGAATACTTAGGACTTGTAATAAAAGCCCATATCTAGCAAACAAACTTCTCAGGGAGACCCAAAGCCCGCAAGATAACCCTCACAAATTCCAGTCTAAAGAATTGAATGCCTTTTGCAAATCAATTTTAAAAGCACATCTAGGTGAAATATTATTCATATAATAACCCCTAACAAGTTCCTGGGCTAGCAAAGTATAATCTACAATTCTTCTCCCGTCACAAATCTAGATTGATTTTTAGAGATCATGGTAGGGAACACCACAGCTAAACGATTCACCAAATCCTAGTAGCAGTAATATATATTACAGACCAGCACGAGATGGGCCTATAATCCCTAACCATGTTCGGATTAGGAACTTTTGGGACCAAAACTACAGCAGTTGCATTGAAAGATGGAAGCATAAAAGAGTTTTCAAAGAAGTACCTGATAGCTGCCAAAAAATCATTTCCAACAATAGGCCAAGCACTCTTGAAGAAGTAAGAATTAAAGCCATCAGAACCAGGGGATTTATTATTCCCTTACCCCCATATAGCCTCTTTGATCTCATCATCAGAGATTTTTTTGATAAGGGCCTCAGTAGTACCGCTAGGTAAGGAGTAGCCGAGGAGATCCCTGATGACGTTGATGCTGCATCACTTAACATCAGGATTAGGTACCCCCAACTGTTTTTTAAAAAAGTGAATGACCTCATTAGACATATTTTCAAACGAATCGATCTTAACCCTATCTTGATCATAGAGAGCCCGAATGGTGCTGCTTATCCTTTTGCTAGCCACCATAGAATGAAAGAAACGAGTACCTTGATCACCCTCATTAATCCAATCAGCTTTGGCCTTTTGCTTGTAAAAAAGCATCTCCGCTTGTTCAAGAGCTTGTAGTTCTTATTCAACCTCTAATTCATCTTTAATAAAGCTGCCAGCAGCAGTATCATTTAAATTGAAAAGCTGAATGCACAAAAGGTCATCCCTCTTCTTTTGAACTTGACCCGAGATGTCGTGAAAATGAGTCATGTTAAGTTCTTTTAGGTAACTTTTCAACCTTTTCAACTTCAAAAACAGAACCTGAGCTAGATTGCCACCAACTGAGGACTGCCACGATTCTTCAACAATGGACATGAAGCTATGATACAATACCCAGAAGTTAAAAAACTTAAAGGGTTTTGGTTTAGCAATGGGGACCCCCTTGTGTAGCCAAACAAGGGATGGGCAATGATCCAAGTCACCAGGAGCCTGAAACTCCACAACTGAGGAAGGGAAAGCCTCAATCCAACTCGAATTTATGAGAACTCGGTCCAATTTACAAGCCAAATAAGTGTCCTGCTGCTTGTTTGACCAAGTGAATAAAGGACCCATAAACTGATGATCCAAAATCCGCAGCTCCTCTACACATCTTTGAAAATCAGATATATCAGGGATAATACCAGAGTTGACTGCATTAGAAGTCTCCTCCATATTAAATATGACATTAAAGTCGCCCCCGATTAGCCATGCATCATTCCTCACAATATTATCCATATCACTAAGCTGTTTCCACAATTATCTTCGAATAAGACCATCATTAGAGTCGTACACCACAGTTAAGTAAAAAATTTACCACTAAAGTTACCCTTTATAGTAATGCTTTGATAAAAACGGAACTGATAGAACAGTCCAGATTAACTTGCCACAGAACCCAAATCCGGCCATTTTCAACATGATCATAGTTACAGCACACTCTCTAGTCACCAAACTTCTTAGAAAGAATTTCCCCATCATTGATCACCTTAACTCTAGTTTCTAGGAGGCATAAAACATCAATATGACACCTTTTAGCCCATTTCAACACCCTACTTTGCTTTAGAGGACTATTACATCCCCTAACATTCCAAAAACACACTAGCATGCCAAAATAGAAGAGGAAGAAGCACCACCCCTTTCCTCATTTTTTTTAAACTTATCAACTTGTTCCTTTTTCTTCAGCTTCATTTCCTATACAACTTTAGACACACCCAAAACATCATCCTTCTGTTTCTTGCTAGAACCATCAAGAGGAACACCCAATAATCTATCAGGGTTAGTTGAATTAAGGATGTCAAACTTGTTCTTAGATCCTCCCCCAACAGTTTTGCCATCCTTAGCTGGCCTTCCTTTGCCTCTTTTTATAGGAGGATTAATAGCCTGCACAATATCATACTGATTAACCCCCAGGGTAGCCAAATCACTCCTAACTCCGACCCCATCTAATACTGGATAGGCATCCAAGGTTTCAGGGTAGACCTCCTTAAGCTTAGTAGCCAAGTTACTGCCAGTTGAAACAAACTGGCCTACTATATCATGTGCAGAACCCTGTTGTACCTTTCCAGGGCTAGACTCTCTAGGCATTGAAACCGTAATCAAGTTTTTAGTAGCATCCAAGCTACTATCAACAACAGCAGTCTGGTTGCCCATATTAGAACATGCAACATCATAATGCTCTTTACCATAACTAAGTCCCACTAATTCTGAAGTTGTACTTAAACTTGCACCAGTAGGCACAGTTCCACCAGTAATGTTAACAACTACCAAAGATTTCAGAGCCTCACCATTCTTTCCAAGACCAACTTCCTGCACAGGCGTCTTAGCCCTCCAAACACGTTCAACCCTCCTTCCATGGGGGCAAGATTCCTCAGAATGCCCAAAACGGTTGCAGTTAGCACAGGAGCTTGGCAACCAAGGAACAAAAACTATAATCCTAACCAAAGACTCATCACACAGAACCACGTCAATATAATTTGGAATCTGAGACCTAGCAGAGATCTCCACACAAACACGAGCATACTCAAGCCTTTCCCTGCTAGCAGTAATCGAATCCATGTGAAGGGGTTTCCCAATTGCACTGGCAATATAGCTAAGCCCCTTCTTCGAAAATAATTCTAAAGGCACATTGTAAAGCTGGATCCAAACAGGCATACAAAGTAAATCAAATTGCAGTTCCTTCAAATTGGGCTCCCATTTCCTAAGAAAAAACAGTTTATGATGAACATGCCAGGGACCATTATCTAAAACCCAGTCCCTGGCAGAAGAATTAACAAATGAGAAGACAAATAAGCTCGAACCAGCTAAACTCACCTTCACCGGTGAATCTTTTCCCCACATCAGGCCGATGGTTTTTTGGAGAGCAGCAAAATTCGGGGCTGGGCCAACAAATTGACCGACTAGAGAGAACCTTCATTCCAAGATCCCTTCCTCAAATACGAAGCGAGGTGGCTTCACGACACAGGAACCCTCAACCACCGAAGAAGAGAAAAAATCCAGCTCCTGATCGTTCCCTGCTGCGAAAAGCTTCCTCCAGTCCATGCCTCCCTCAACAGCCATAAATCGATAAAACCCCCACAAGAAACTCAGAAAAGTAGAAAAAAAGCAAGAATTGCAGTGAAGATGGCCTCGTCTTCAACCACTGTTAGCCCAACTAACATGCACCAAGAGAGAAGACTTAACGTGCGCCATTTTCTCGATTATTCTACTTTTTATGTGTATGAAAAATAAAATATTTAAAAATAATGAAATTTACCAGAAATAAATATTACTTTTAAAATAATTTCAAAAACAAATTACATCATAAGAATGATAATTTTCAACCAACGTGATAGAATTCGAATTTTAAATAGCTTGAGTAAAAACTGAAATGGATAATCTTTTGGATAAATTATATGTTTATTATGTCGATTATCACTTTTGTTATATTTAATATGATTATTAATTTTTTATAATAGTTAAGGATAAAAAATAAAATTAAATATTAAATATGATTTTAAGAAACAAACAAATATTATTATTATTTATCTCAATTAATAAAAAAAAATATAAATTTTAAAATAATATTAATAATTAAAACAAAATAAAAATGATAATTTGAATACTAAACGAAATATAAATTTTAAAAGAATATTAATAATTAAAACAAAATAAAAATAATAATAATAATTTGAGTACTAAACGATGCCCTAATTTAAATTTCCTAATTGGTCAATCAGTTGATGGTAGGGTTAGCTGTGTGACTTGTAAAATCCTCCATTTGTTGTTTTACAGTCCCTGTGGTTAGGAATTGCTTTGATTCCCCGACCGCCAAGCCCAACCCACAGCGGAAGTGAACCGGATAGGAGGCGATGAACGGCAACGGCAGGAGGCAACGAAGACCAGCGGAAGAAGATGACAAGGGTTTGATTTGGAAACTTCCGCAGCTTAAGCATAAGGATGTGGGTAAGGTTGGCCCTGCTTTCGGTCTCGGCGCCGGCTGTGGTCTCGGCTTTGGTGCCGGCCTCATTGGAGGTATTTCCTCACTAATCAATTTTTAACAATTTTCTTTGTGAATTTTCTTTTCTTTTATTTTTCTGGATCTAGAGATGAAATGATCATGGACATGACGAGTAAAAGTGCATGTTAAAAACATATAGTATATGGTTTATTTATTAATTGGATTACAAATATTTTATCCATAATTGAGAGAAAAAAAAGAACGGTTGAACAAACTAGTTATTAAATAGGGCAAAATTGACAGGATAATATGGTGGAAAAAGAAACTGGCTCGTATGGGTGTTGAAAAAATATTTTTCTCAACTAAGATGGTATGAACATTGCATAGCGTAAGACGCAGGGACTGCATGGCGTATTTCGATAGACGCCGGGAAGACGACGCATCTTATCCAGAATGCATGCAATTGAAACCCCAAGTCTAGTAGGGTAGCAAAGGGAAAGAAGCATTGTCTTCCATGAGTCTTCCCAAAGACGTCATGTAGTTCCTGCGTCTTTTACCCTGCTCTTTTCATATCACCCTAGTTGAGAAAATAATTATCCGAATACCCTATACCAACCAATCTTTTTTTTCAACACCCCATCCAAGCAATTTTTCCAATTATATAAATGCTAGTCTCAGTTTGTGCTTTTGGAAGATCGAAGACCACTGGCCTACTGCTAAATTCTCTTTAAGTTGCCAATGACCATGATTTTTTTGTGGTTCATATTTTGGGATTGCATGGTCCCCAAGATGCATTTATTTATTCATTTTCATTCTAACTTTGTTCCATTCTGTGTTAGACATGATGATCTTCTCTTAATTGCTTATCAAAGATTTGAATGGTTTTCTCTCATTAGGTGCTGGCTTTGGTCCTGGAATTCCTGGATTGCAAGTTGGCTTTGGTTTTGGTGCTGGATGCGGGGTTGGCTTGGGATTTGGCTATGGTGTCGGTATGGGCGTTGCTCATGATGAGAACCATTCATATTCTAATATTAAAAGCTTATTTGGCAACCAGCATCGTCCTTTGCAGTGAGTATTTATATTTATATACGTGTATATATTTGTTTCTGCTATATCCTTCTAAGTTCTTTATTGTAGTAATAATAGAATTAACTTAACTGAAGTTTTTTCTTTGATTTAAATGCATGTTTTGCTGATGAGAAGTAATGACTTGGTTTCCCTACTTTCTAGCATAGCAAGTTATTGCTTTATAAACTTATCATCCCTCTTGGTAAAGTAGGTTTTTGGATTTCTAGGAGTATTGGGTTTAAAGTTATTAAAAACATGGTACTTTGGTTTGGATATGAAAAGACGAATTCAAGATTTTATCTTTGAGAAATTGGAACCCTATTAATTAGCTGAGTGGTTACTATCATTGGCAGTAAATTAAGATTGATCTCTTCTTCAATTAGACATAAAAAATGCTTTCTTAAATGAGGATCTTGAAGATGTGTACATGGAAATACCTTCAGGTTTGAAGAATTTCTCAAATGGCATACAAAGTATGCAAGATAAAGTAGTCACTGTATGACCTAAAACTTTCTCCTCATGCATGGTTTGACGGATTTATCAAAGTTGTAATTAACGATGGATACAATCAGTGCCAGTCAGATCATACAATATTCTTGAAGGTTTCATCAAAAGGTAAAAAAGGCCATACTTATTGTTTATGTTGATGGAATTATCATAACAAGAGATGACTTTGAAGAAATCCATAAGCTAAAATGTCAACCTGTTGTTGATTGTGAAATCAAAGATCTTGCAACACTCAAATATTTTCTAGGGGTGGAGGTTGCTCGATCAAGAGCTGGGATTGTGATCACACAAAGAAAACACATTCTGGACTTCCTAACAGAGACTTCTATGCTTGGATGTAAACTAACAAAACACTTGTGGATCCCAACTGAAAGCTAAGAAGAGATAAGGAATATCAGTTAATCAAGAACAATACCGAAGGTTAGTGGGAATGCTAATTTATTTATCTCATACAAGGCGAAATGTTTCTTTTCAATAGGTATTGTCAGTTAGCATGAATGATCCTTGAGAAGAGCGTCTAGAAGCAGTCAATCGAATCCTTAGATATCTCAAAATGACACCAGGTCATGGTTTATTTTTTAAAAGAAGCGAGAACTTTGAGATTGTGATTATTAAAAGAATTAAAGGATGACTTTAGTAATCAGTTCAAGGTGCAAAGTGAACCAATTTGCCATAAATATTGTTAAAATTCCTGTTCATCATGGCAAAACCAAGCATGTGGAGACTGATAAACACTTCATTTTAGAGAAAGTCGATAATGGGATTGTCAAACTAAGATATGTTCTTACTCAACTACAACTAGCTGATATTTTCACCAAACCACTTCCAAGAGTTAACTTTGATGGAGTGTAGGATATAGCTGTGTACTTTGTATTTAGTATTTTACTTTGTATTATACTTGTATTTTATATTTACCTAAGTAGAATATAAGATAGTTATCCGTTTAGATAAGAAAGTAAACACCTAGGAGGACTCTTATGTTGTAACTCCTAGTAGGATTCTACTATTATAACACAGTCAATTTCAATAAGTCTGATTTATTTATTTTTTATTCGAATGGCAGAGGAATAGAAGTAAAAAAACAACTCTCTTCCTGTAAACTCTCTTCTCTTTTCAGTAAATTCACAGGAAACTCAAGATTTCATTTTCTTCTTACTGCGATCCTGAAAAACTCATGTAGGCAAAATGTAAAGCAGTAGCTTAATTCATGTATTTCAATTTATTGGATAGATATGAGATTCATCGACAATTTCAGGACTATTTTTTTTCAGGACTAAGGATTGTCCCATGCTGATATCTTGCTACCTGGTTACTGTTATTAGGAAATACCAACTGCTATAATAGTTTTTATTTCTAGGACAGCGGCTATAAGTGGAAAAACTATGAGATGAGTAAGTCATGTGGTCGGTTGCTCCAGAGTGTGTGATCCAAGAGCTGACGATCCGAGACACTAAGAGCGCATGGAGAAGGAAACTTGAGACGACATGAAGTAGTCTGATTAGTAAGACTAACGGTGATATTGGCTTAAGTAGAATGTGCTTGTCCTTTCTGTTGTCCCTTTGGGTTAAGAGTCCTTGGTCTACATGAAGATTCCAGTAACATTTTGTTGTGTGGCCTGACATCTTGTAGTTGTCACACATTAAATGGACTTCTTAAATTTCATTTTATGCTCTCAGCATTTGCTGCAATAATTTTATCTTGAAACCAATTCACTTGTACCAATTGTGACCAACACTGATCATTTCCACTAGTTTCAATCACAGTTCCTCCCTTGCTTTGAAATGCTTCATATGGTTTCAAAGATCAACATTTTCCACGTGAGCATCTAAATGATTGTAGAATTCAATTGCAATGTTACAATGTACAGTAACCAATTTGCTGTCTGCCTTCATTTTACTTTCATTTGGATTGTGTCATCGATACTTTTGTTTTATTTGTTTTGTGTGTATGTTGTTATGAAAAGGGATGAAATCGGAGGCCTAATTGACGAGCTTGTGATCAACACCAAGAAGGTAGCTGTAGCAGCTACTAGGGAAATTGAAAAGTGAAGATGATTGAACTTGAAGAATGTCTGTTTTGTGAATGTTGAATAAGAAAGGACTCTTATTTTCTAGTAAGGTGTGCATGAAAACCTATGGTCTGGATGTAGACTACTTGTTATAAGTTTAATATATGCTCCTGTTTATATTTCTTTTGATAATTTAAGATAAGCTCACTGATATGGTATGCCATTGTCTATGTTTTCAACTTCAGACAGTTAATACAGAGGCAGTGAAATCTTCATTGAAGATTTTGAGGTATGATGCTTGGTTGAACTGCATTGGCCTCCATATTCAACGTGAATTTTATCACATACTATAAGAAAACAAAATGGACGATCTTTATGGATTTTGGACTCAATGGCCATGATTGATTACTGGTTCTTATTATGAGCTATGGGATCTAGGTACTTTTCTTCTCCTGGAAAAGGAAAAAAAAAGGTCCCACAATCTAATTACTAATCTGATATTTGCCTCATCAAAAATATAACTTTCTAACCATGATTCTTTATCTTGCCCATAGTATGTTAATTGTGCCATGCCTGTGGAAAAAGGATGATAGGATCAAATGTCTTGTAGCTTCACAGGCTTTATTTGTATGATCACAAGATTAGATTTGTTTCCATCCAAGTTATTTTCAGTTTCTGTTGAAAAAAGTATATAAATTTATAATCCTAAAATTTGTAATTATTTTTTATTAAAAGAAAAACATTAGTAAATTTTATGGAAATCTTGGTGGCTAGCTGGTCTTTCTGCTCTTACTATGGTGATGTTTCTAGGGCTCTTATGAACATTTGTGGTGGGGATTGGTGGTGAGAAGTTACTATTTATTTGAGTATATGTTATTTATAATTTAGAAGAAGAAATACAAATCTATTTGAATTATAGTAATACAGTAAAATCTTTATAAATTATATAAAATTAATTTTAAGGGTATTAATTAATTGATAAATTAATAATTTATTAATTTAAATAGAATTTTTATATTTCACGAACTTACATTATTCTTTATGAATTTGATACGATGATTAATGACTTTGGGTACCGCAAAAAAAATGAATGTCAATCACTTATTGGATTACCCGAGTGAAAATGATGCATATGTTAGAGGTTTAAAGTTTAGAAAAAGTGTAGCTAATGTTTTTGAAAATCTTTTTGATGATGAAACTGAAGATGATACAATGCATTTGTCATTAATTAGACGGAAGGAAGAACTAATAGTGGCAACAATTCTTCACTATTTTTTATTGTAGTATGAGAACACAATATTAGAACTTTTGGATGCACTAAGAAAAGTTAAAGATGAAATACAATTAGATTTAAATATTTTAACAAGCAAACAACAATAGAATCATATTTCACTAAGTTGTTCTAGTTATATTTGTAATTTTATAGAATTATTAATTTATAATATTGGATTCTTTCAATAAATTATTATATTATTAATTTATCAAAATTATTAATTTATTGGGACCAAGTCAAGACTGAAAAAATTATTAGTTTAGAGAGATTATTAATTTATCGAGTATTAATTTATAGAGATTCTACCCTATAATTACATAAGTAATAGGATAAATTATATCAATGACCATTTAACTATAGCTCTTTTTTTTATTTTGGCAATTAATTTTTTAATTTTGTCAACTGGACCACTTAACTATTTAAGTGTTGCAATCAAGCCACCAACCATTAATATTTAGGGGAATTTGGCAAAAACTTTTGAAAAGTAACTTTTAGAAATGTTGTAAAAAATAACTTTCAAAAGTGTTGTTTAAAAGTACAGTTTAAAATTTAACTGTTTGAGATTATTGTTCAAAAGTGAGTTTGAAAAGATAAAATGTCTATTATAAACATTATGTTATAAATTAAAAATATATAATTTAAATTATTTTTACAATTATTAATACTATGATATATAAAATATATCAGCTTAAACTATAATAAAAATATAAAAATATTTTAAGATAACTCATTAATAATATTTTTATAAATGAAATATTTTATTAAGAAAAATATATTATCCATAATTTTTAACACGTGGATGTAAAATTATTACAGAATAATAATTTAAATACTTGTTTTGACAAAAGAATATTACAAAAAAAAATATTAGTGCTTACAAATTAAAGTGAATTTATTAAACTAGAAACTATGGTATCTCTCATTAATTATATTTTATAACGAGATGGAGTGTTTAATTCATCATCATCATCATCAATTTCTTCATCTTGTACTTATTCTGGGTTATGTTCATAAGTCTCATCATTTTTTTTACTCCATAAAATCTGCATCATCAAAACCTGCATGTTTATGAAATAAAATTGTGTAGACTTGGATGTTAAAAAATAGCATAACTACATATTTAGTCTTCATTACTTACACATTATATTAATTTATACACAATCTTAATTTAATTTAATTTAATAAAATGTAATCACCAATTAGATGACAACATGTGTCACCACTTCATTGGAAGATATTTTTTTTTATCGCTTTTTTTGTTAGGTTTCCAACCTTTTCCTTGTATAATCTTTGTGTGATCTTAAGCGACTAGTTTTTGTGTCAATAATTATAGGAAAATATCTTAATTAGATGTTTAATTTATGATTATGGTTGTACACCTTTATCATAATTTTGGATATTGCATCTGTTAATAAAACTAGTGACTTCTATAAAATCACTGAGACGTGTGTCATCATCGGATCAAGTGAAAAGAAAATTGAATGAAATTAAGCGAAAAAGGCATCCTGATGTTAAATATCAGATATATGTGAATCAATGCTCGATTCGTGGCTGTAAAGAATGATTTGGCAAAGCTGCAACTCACATCACTGGTGCTCATTTCTTTCTTATCTTCTTCATTATCTGTTTCTTTGAATTTAGGGTTAATAACTAGCATTTATGTGTGTTTAGTCGGTTAAAATATTGGCCAACGTGGTTGGACTGTGGCAATTCAGTGCCTCAAACATGCCGAGTTATTTTTTCGTGACAAGGATAAAGATGTTGAACAATAATGATCATTTTGATCGTTCGTTACTCTTAAAATTTTAGTGAAAAAAAACTTACTCATACTTAAATGATCATTGTAGCTTACCATAAACTAAACAAAGATGAAAACCAGTTTATTTACTAACAAACTAACTGTTCAATGAAACAACACAGTTAATCAACTAATATTGGCCCCACTAATTTTAAACAATCGGATAAGTCTACAGCGCACGTCGCACACCGCAACATATCACTAAAGCGACATAACAAAACATACCACTAGCTAAATTATCCTTATTAAGTAAATATTAAAAGGATAGATTATACGTAGGGGTGTTCACGGTTGGTTAACTATACTGTTTAGTCTAAACAATCGGTTAATCGTTATAAAGTTATTAAATTTTGTTAACCAACCTTCATTAGCGGTTCGGTTATATGATAACCTATGGTTAACCTATTACAATTTTTTTAAAACATAACAAAAATTAAAATTTTCAAATTTTCATAAAATTTACAATGAAGGGAACATATATTTGTAAAAATCTTATTTATTTATAAATGCATTTTATTTTATAAATATATATATTATGAGGTATATTTTTTTACAGTTTAAAATCTTGTGTGTATATTTATATTTTGTAATTTAAAACCATGTATTTATTCTATCTATGTTTAATTTAATGTGATATTATATAAGATAAATATGATAACTAAAAAATAGGTGGAATCATTTTTGTTGAACTATATTTTGATATAACAATTTAAGGCAAAATGTTTTTGGACTTGAATTGAATTTATTCAAAGTTTTCAAAAATAATTAAAAGTCCTTAAAAGTGCATTTGAGCACAAAATGATTTTCTGGACAAGATGTACCAATATTGTTCTTACAATATCGATACCTCATGAACAATACTGATATTGTTCATATGATACCAATACCAAAGGTAAGGGAAGTATCGATACTCACTAAGTAGTATCGATACTATCAGCATTGCTTAAATTCCAGAACGCAAAAATGGTACCGATACCCAAAGGGGTACCGATACTACTTTACATAGTAGTATCGATACCATAGGCTTAATATCGATACTGTGAGGCCCAACGGCTAGTTAACGACTAGTTTCATTTAAAAGTATAAAGAAAATACTGGTACCCTCTGTTCTGGACAGTTTTGTTTTGCATAGAAAAACATCCCCAACGCCTCTAAAAGACCCCTAACGGCTAGAAACAACCACAACTTCATTTCAACATATAAATACAAGTTTAAGACACTTGAAGAAGGGTTAGAACACCTATCCAAGCAATCAAACACAAGAGAAGAGCTTTTCACTCTTTAATCCTATTCTCTTGTAAATATTTTGTTCTTGTGAGCTTGAATTTTTTGTAAACACCTACCTTAGAGATGTTTTATTTGTTTACTTTTTTTTTTACATTTTTAAAGGGGATTGGTTCTAGTTTAGCCAAGTGAAAAACTAAGGAGCTGAAAAGGTTACTCTTGATCATTGAAAAAGAAAGAACAAATTAGTGAATTTGTTAGAAAATCCTTAGTGAGGGCTAAGGTAGTGGAAGTAGACTTAGTTGAGAAGTCGAACCACTACAATCATTATGCAAAAGTTTCTATCTTTTTTTCTCCTTACTCCCTAAACCGTTTTTTGCCAATTCATCCCTCTTACAACTTTTTCGGTTGTTCAAATTGAGCCTTTTAAATCCTAACAATTGGTATTAGAGCTTGACTCGTTAGAAGACTTCACATCCTTGAGACGATCTTCGAAGAAGCTCTACTGATTCCCAACGCAACCGACAAAGAGATGGCTTCAACCTCTGGTGCTTATTACATGGAAGATTCTCAACCGGTCAACAAGGCACCTTACTTTAATGGAGCAAATTATGCCTATTGGAAGAATATGATGATGCTCTTCATTCAAGCAAATGATTTAGGAGCTTGGAACTTTATCATGAAAGGATACACCATTCCAACCAGTGAGATAGACGATTGGAATGATAGAGAGAAGAAGAAGTTCCAACTCAATGCTAAGGCTATGCATATTCTCTTTTATGCATTAGGCCCGGATGAATATGGAAGAGTCTCCTCTTGTTCCAATGCTAAGGAGATATGAGATAAGCTCCAAGTCACTCATGAAGGAACCAATTAAGTAAGGGAA